CAGATCGAGTTCCATTCGAGGGGACACATTTCTCTATGCCTGACACGGAGAATAAATTCTCACGAAAACATAGAGCATATGAACCCCGAAAGTTACTTGCTAGGTCTGACACGGAGAATAAATTCTCACGAAGACGTCGCTTTCACTCCCACTTAAAAGGGACAAGTTTGATTAAAAAGCTTATGTTATGCAATGCAAATGTTGTGTGTGAGGAGAAATGTTCAAACCTCTAACAGAAAAAATAAATAATGAAATAAAATACTTGCAAATAAAATGAAATATTAATAAGAAAATATATAAATGCTATGAAAATAATAAGTATATAAAAAATTTGAAAAGAAAGAATTATAAATCAAATATATGAATTTTTAATTTATAATTAATAGAGACAATTTATAATTGATTTTAAAAGTTTGAACATCATCCCCAGCGGAGTCGCCAAGCTGTCGTAACCGGTTTTCGTCCGGGCACGAATTTTTTACTTGGTGGGAAAAGTGATGTGAATAAATGGTTTTTAAAATAATTTGGGAGTCGCCATCGACCTTTTGGGTCAGGTAGGTCGAATACCTAAAAATCATCATTTAAAAGAGTTTTTAAGAAAAAATCGATTAAAAGATAAACTGATCTACGTTTTAACCAAAAATTCGTTCTTTTTAATAATAAAAAGGGATTCGTGGTCGGTTACGTTTAGGGAAGGATTAGCACCCCTACAACGCCCAAAATTGGTACTTTTTAATTATAAATTGTCTCTATTATTAGAAATTAAAAATTCAAAAATATATTTAATTTATAATCCTATTATTTCAAAATTATAATTATAAAAAAAATATTAATTTATATATATTTATAAATAAAATATTTTTTTATTTAGAAATATCAGAAAAGGACTTCTAGGTGCCTTAAGACAGCTCTTTTTTTCAATATTAAAAAATTAATATATAATTAAAATAGTTAATATATGATTTAAAAAATAGGATATTTATTTATTTAAAAATATCAGAAAATGGACATCCAGTTGTTTTAAGACTGCCCTTTCTTAATATTGAAAAATAAATAAATATATATTAAAATATGATTATTAAAAAAGTAATTTATGAAATATAAGATTTTAACGAATAAACAAATATTATTTATTATATATATTTATTTATATAAATAATAAGAATAATAATAAAAAGTAATAATAAAAAAATAATATTACAAATAATAATTAAAAATATAGTATTAAAAAATAATCAAAAATGAAATTTGAATGATTAAAATATAAAATTATAAAACTAGAGTACTAATTCGAAATATATAAAAGATGGGCATTAAAAGTGTAATTTAACCATAATTCATAATATGGGATTAAAATAATAATTAATAAACTATGAGGGACTAAATTTGATATTTACCTAAATATATATATATATGCTGATAAGGACTAAATTAAAATAAAATAAAATTAGAAGACTAAATTAAAATAATCAAAAATTGCTTTCAGTGACTAAATTATAAGGATTACAAACTAGGATGACTGCGGGCAGGGTTTACCCCTGATGAAAATTACACGCACACCCCTCCCCCTAAACGACGTCGTATGGCGAAGGGTATATCAATACCCAAATGGTTGGCCCTACGGGCCAGCATCTTCATTCTCTTCTTTCCCTCTGTCTCTCTAAAAACGAGAGAAGCGTTTCTCTCTCGCTTCTCTCTTCACCGGATGGATTCCGGTTTCCTGCCGACAGCCGTGTTCCGGCCGATTGCCGTCGCTGGCCACCGTGAACGGTGGCCGAAAATTACAAAATCCACCCCAAATCGAAGCCCGATTTTCCCTTGTCCTAGATCCAAGCCCCGTTTTTCCTAATAACCCTCTGATAACCCTAGATCTAAAATAAACCGAGGGTTTTTTACCTTCGATTAAACGGCGGTTTGACGACGTTTGGTTTCCGACGCCGCTTGGTAAGTCTCTTCACTCTTCTCTCGGTTATTTTTCGTTGCTTTCTGTCTGTGTGTTGGTTGCCCCTCTGTTTTGGTTCTCTCTGGTCGTTCCTTTTTTTTGTTGCAGATATGGTCGATGGCTTTTATAGCCATCGACGGTGTGGCTCTCGGACCGGTCTCAAATGGTGACCCTAGGTGAGTCACCGGACTATGGTGGTGACTCACCATAGGGTTTCAACGTGGGGCAGAAACGAGGTGCTTCTGGAGTCTTCTGTTGGTGTCGTCGTGGTACTGGTGTGTCGACAATGGCGGTGGAGGCGTTGACAGTGGGGCATTGGACCACCTGGCAGTGAAGCGACGGTTGGAAGCTTGGAGATAGCTGAGGCGGCGCCGCGTGGTTGCCCTAGGGTATCATACCCTAGGGTTTTCGTCTGGAAGCATCAGGACCGTTGGATTTTGGCCAGATCCAACGGCTGTGAGCAATGGCGGCTGGGGTATGAGATGAGAAACCCTAGTTGGGTTTTAGGGTTTATGTTGGGCTTCTGTATCTGGGCCACATTGTTTAGGCTTGCAAACTGGGCCTGAGTTCTTGTAATTGGGCTTTGTAATATTTAATAATATTAATAACAATAATAATAATAAATAATGATAATAATAATAAATATATAAATAAAATGGGTAAAAAAAAATTAGTATCTTCAGACAATTTCATTATCTTGATTTAAATTAGTGAATTGTATATTATAAATTTTAGACTATCACGTACAAATAAATCAGGAAAAAAATATGATGTAGCAACCATAAATGATAAGTCATAATTGACTGATAAAGAATATTATTTTCATAATTAAATGACGAAGAATATTATATTTCGTGTATTGAAATAAATGAATTATCTATAAATTTAAAAGTTATATTAGCATGATATCTAGGTACTTAAAGAGATTTTTTGGGGATAAATGCATGCTTAAGTCCATAAACACCTATAATTAAACTATTACTTGATTTTTTTTATTCAAATCAAAGTTGATCTGAATTTAATAACATATTTAACAAATTTTATTGATTTAGTACCTTGAGATGAATTAATTATCTTTCAGATTTTTTTTAAAAAAATTATTGATTTAACACCTTTTTTGATAAGGCGTAAATGATATGTTGCGGATATATGTGCCTTTTTATAAGGGTGTTAGATTGGTAAAATATTTTGATAGAGTGTCTGATACGTAAATAAAATCTGTAAGGTGAAATTTTGGTAAAAACGCCATGAATCCAACCCTCCCTGACTGCAAATTCCAATCAGATCATTATTTTTTGCTTACAACTGTTTACTGGTGGATGTGAATGCCAGACAGTATCTTTTTGTTCATAAAAGAACTGACCATCATTTTCATAAATCCGGCACTTGAAGAATTATCTATTCGATCACTTATCTATTATTTAATTTTTATTTTGGTCGTTTAATTATTATTTTTTCCGAAATTACACTTAACATGAAATTTTGATTTTAGTTCGATCACATGCTGTTAAAAATTAACAATGAAGTTGATGTAATATTTTATAATTAATTTTTAATATTGATGTGATATTATCTTATGGTGAAATGTTAACATCATCACTAATATTTTAAGTGGTTAAAAGAGAATCAAAACGTAATGATGAATATGATTTTGAAATAAATAATAGTTGAGTGACCAAAATAGAAACTGAGTAATAGATGGATGATCAAATAAGTATTTTACCCAAAATTATATCAGTCTCAGCCTTAAGGAAAATGGAGCAGCCAACCAACTACCCTCTTTTATTTATATATTTCCTAAATGTCAATAGTAAAGCATCGATTATACTTTATTTATTATTGTATTCTCAAAAACATTTTATGTCATAGTAATATACTAAATCTGTCGGAAAGTTGTGCTGTACGACAGATTTAGTATAAAGTTAAGGAAAATTGTTATTGGAAATATTATTATTTTTTAATATTTTTGGTAAAATGCTATCTAAAATGTTATTTTTTCTTTCGAAAATGTTAATTTCGTTACTTAAAATAAATTTTTCTTATATTAATATTTCCGGTAGAAAAAAATAACATTTTAGGTAGCGTCCATATTAACATTTCCGGTAAAAAAAATAATATTTCTAGTAGCGCTTTTTCCATATTAACATTTTCGGTAGAAAACATAATAACATTTTCGGTAACGTTTTTTTTAACCTTATATTAGACTGTCTTTCCTTATACATCTCCAAATCTAGACCCAGCATGTTTGAACACTTTAAGTTTGGTCCCTGTCTTGAGATATGTATACTTAAATCTTATTAGAATTATTGAAGAAAATTGCTAACAGAAGAGATATATTGAGAAGATGGAATTTTTGGACACATTCACTTCACATGATTTATCATTTGCCAACACCCTTTTCATGCATTTAATTTTGCATTTTTACTGTGATTTTTAATTATTTCTGAAAAGCATATTTAATCATTCAAAAAAAATTATATTTATTTAACTAATTATAAGATAGTATGTGATCATATAATTTTTTAATTTATTAATAATATATACATTACGTAAATGTGAAAGTTTGAACTCGAATTTTGTGAAAATAATACTATTTATTTTTATTAAGATAATATTATTTTTATATTTTAATTAAAAAAAACATATTTAGGCAAAATACCTTTTACTTCTCTTACTCTTATTTATTAATCAGTAAACGTTTGTCAATTGGGAGTTAAATTTCATCTTTAATAAAAACATGTAAGATCTGATCGATCAATCAATGAATAAACATGTAAGAGAAGTACTCGGAACATAAAGAGTTATAATTGGGAAGTCTCTAATGCGTAAAAGGGATCTAAAATAGTTTAGATTTGGTAATTTTATCAAGTGATAAGACAATTCTCCAGCACCAAAGAAGGGTTGACAGATGTAAATGATGAATGTTTAATAGGAAAAATAAAGAGTGATTTTCCCAGAAAATTGATTCCTACTATAAGTATCAGCCTTCAAGTTGGATATGATCAACTACTTTAGTTTATTATTACATCAACAATACGAACCCAGGAAAAGCTTCGAGCATCGTTCCCGGCAAAGACAAGAAGAAACCTTTAACATAAACAAACTCAAAAACAACCAAAGCAAAACCCAGATCCCTTCAAAGTCCTAAACCCATTCTTATTTTTGTCAAAACCAAAACCCCTTTTCTTTTCATCTCATGATTCTGTTCTGAAAAACAAAAAGGAAGAAGAAAGGGGAAAGGTTCAATCAGAGGTGAATTATGGGTTGTTGTGAATCATCTTTTCAAACAGAAACCCACCCAGAGAAAGACCAGAGCCGGCAACTGAAACCGGAGCCCCGGAACCATAACCAAGAAGCTCCGGGTGCTGGACCCGATCCGGGTGTTGCTAATGGAGTCCCTTCTTTCACCGAGTTCTCCTTGGCTGACCTTAAGGCATCCACCAATAATTTCAGTTCAGATAACATAGTTTCTGAAAGTGGGGAAAAAGCTCCCAACCTTGTTTATAAAGGTCGTTTGCAGAACAGGAAATGGATCGCTGTTAAGAAGTTTACTAAGACGGCTTGGCCTGATTCAAAGCAGTTTGTGGTATCATTATTGCCTTTTTCTGCTTTTGATATTTGGTGGGATTATTTGATTTGGGTTTTGTGGATTTGTTTTTAGGATGAAGCATGTGGAGTAGGGAAGTTGAGGCACAGGAGGCTAGCAAATTTGATAGGGTATTGCTGTGATGGTGATGAAAGGCTGCTTGTTGCTGAGTACATGATTAATGACACACTTGCTAAACATTTGTTCCATTGTCAGTTTCTCCAAAAGAATCCTTTTTTTCATTTGTTCTTGTTCAATTTTTTGATTTCTTGCTCATCTTTTAATCAGACTTGACTTTTAGTTCTTGCTAATTGTTTCCAAGAACATGCCCTACATAACTCGAGCTTAGCCTTTTTCCCCTTCCAGTTATTCTTGATTACTGGTTGTCTTTGGTTGTCTTTCAGTGTTTTCATAGATAATGAGTTGTTTTGGTTGTTACTACGAAAGTTTAAAATCATTTCCGGATGTAAGATAAGCTGTTTATCTGTCATTGCATTGAGCTGAGCTACCTGAAAACTGTTTTCTCTTTCCAAATTGCATGATGCTTGTCATTGAATTTTGTCGAAATTATGCTTCTTGTAGGGAGAGTCACCCCAGAAAGCGTTATTTACAGCTTTGGCACCGTTCTTCTTGATCTTCGTAGTGGGAAGCACATCCCTCCTAGTCATGTAAGTGGGTTTAAGCGGCTTATATTTGTGGTAGAAGGGATCGATACATATTATTGTGTATTTTTCTTTTTTCAATTTCAAACTCTCTGCATCATGGAATCTGTCATGGCTCATTGAAATACTTGTAAATGGGAACTTGCTATTCAAATCACGAGTTCATCAGGTTAACCGGCTGCTTATATATACACCTGTTCTAAATGTGAGACAGCATTAAGCTCAAAGGTTACAAAAACTTCGATTTTACTTGCTGATGTGCATGTTTGCAGGCCCTCGATATGATACGGGGTAAAAACATCATGGTCCTCATGGATTCACATTTAGAGGGAAAATTTTCAACAGAGGAGGCAACCGTGGTTGTTGGACTTGCCTCTCAGTGTTTGCAATATGAGCCCAGGGAACGGCCTAGTGTGAAGATTCTTGTTGCCACACTTGCTCCATTGCAAACCAAACCTGATGTAAGGAACATTGCTGCTTTTACCTATTCGATTCCGTAAGTGTTCATTCTTTCTTTCTTGGTGAGCCAAAGATCTAGAATCTGGAGGTTGCATCTGTTGACTTACAGTGAAGAGTTGAAAATGATGAGATTTGTATTAGAGTTGTCCAAGATACATAAAGCTCTTTTTTATCTGTACTTCTTTACGTGCTTATTGTCACCTCGATCCATCCTCAAGCTAAAAAACGATGTGGAATTAATGATCTTGTGGCTGTGCTTTTGAAGTTATTATTGTATCACTTGGCTTGCAGGTTCCATCTTATGTTATGCTTGGAATATCAAAATACGAGGAAGCTCCACCAACACCTCAGCGTCCACTTTCGGCAATGGGTGAGGCCTGTTCACGACTTGACCTTACAGCTATTCATCAGATACTGGTGATAAATCACTACAAGGATGATGAAGGGACGAATGAGGTGATGACTTGTTTGAGTGATTCCTTTAAATCCATTTTCGTTTACTGTCATTCTAAGAAGTTCATACAATTGTGGATGGATTGCTTCAGTTATCTTTCCAAGAGTGGACCCAGCAGATGAGAGATATGCTCGAGGCTAGGAAGCGTGGGGACTATGCATTCCGTGATAAAGATTTTAAAACTGCCATTGACTGTTACTCCCAGGTGTAACGTCGAAACTTTAACTTGTCGAGAACTATATGTTCTTTGGCTGAGAGTTTGTCATCTTGCTTATTTATAGACTTGATCATTCAATAGTTCTAAGACAATTGGGATTGTATTAAACCAAATCCAGTATTAAACCTCCATGGATACCTTTTTTTCTGTGCAGTTCATAGACGTCGGAACCATGGTCTCCCCGACTGTTTTCGCTCGACGCAGCCTATGATGCTATCTATTTAGCGATCAACCAGACGTTGCCCTTGCAGATGCAATGCAGGCACAGATTGTGAATCCAGATTGGCCGACTGCCTTCTATATGCAATCAGTTGCTCTTGCCAAACTAGACATGCATAAAGACGCCGCAGACATGTTGAACGAAGCTACCGGACTTGAAGAAAAGAAGCAACGAGTCATGAAGGGGTCGTGAGAACAAAATATAGTGTTCTTTGATTCTACATTTCTGTACCATTTTCATGTCAAGGCTGCCGAAGGTTTGTGTAAAAATCCGAGTTTGAAATCGAATTTCAAATTGAAATTGTATGAAATAGCAAAGAATGTATTCCCCCCCCCCCCCGCAAAAAAAAAATAAAAAAAATCCTGTGGTGTGTACCTGCCGTCCATGCTTGCGAATTATATGACATGCTTAGCAAGGAGGCTCTACCATGTCAGCCATATGTGACGCAAAACAACAGAGTTTCTGAAGTAATTCTCAGTCTCATCAATTATCATTTTCCCGATTATCACCTTAAATTTGCTCGAACAAAACTCGGAATCGCAACCGGTTAAATCATTCCAACAGATACATTTGTGCCTTTACAGACAATCCAGAATGCTGTAGATAGGTTGTAATTTTATGTTGCTTTCTTTCTGACAAAGAAGGATACTAATAGCATCAGATAGTTTCTGGTGACCAACTCGAAATTAATTTTTATCACTCAATTATCTTTTCACTTTTATTTTGATCGCTGATTTTTTTTAAATTTAAATACATAATTTATGAGCATATGAAGATATAGGGAATGAGGGTGAGACTGTCAAGGGTGAGAGCGAGGTTTTTGTGACTTGGAGTTTAGAGTTCTGTTTTAGGGTTTGAATGGGTATGGTTTAGGGTGTGAATTAATAATTTGAATTGGTGTGAATTAGGGTTTGTCATTTGGAATTGGAAAGGATTTTATTTTTTATTTTAAAGCACATTTGGTATTAAATATTAATAAAATATACAATGTCATATATAAATATAATATTAAAATAATCCAATTCATAAAGGACCAAAACAAGAGTAACTTGAAAGTTTGATAATTAAATTGAAACTTTTAAAATTTTAATGACCAAAATAGAAGTGAGAAGATAGTTGAGTGATATACAAATGTAGTTTACCCTAATTGTTTTTCACCCGTTTTCCGAGTCCTGTTGCAGTGGCATTCCTTAGCTTCTATCTATGTCCATGCTAAGAAGCATTTGCTTCCAAAATTTCTTCAATAATGTGTCAATTAGTCGGTGTCGTTTATTTTTCAGATTTCACGTTTGCACGACCGGCATTGCAGACCTGTCTCACTTACCGACGTACACGCAATATGGTCGCTTTTTCTCGCCTGCAATCCTGTATGCATATCTTCTTTAATTAGCAAATTATTCAAAGATCAACACAAGCATCACTGGAATCTTGTCCAACATATGTTCAGTACCATATGAGACGAGACAAGGTGCATAGTGCCGTCGTGCACAATAATTAATGCTTCATTTTCTGTAAAACAGATGTTCATATGAATAAATTGCTTACAGATTCATTTGGGGTGGGGAAGGAGCATTGAGAGAACATCGGCAGCGAAACTAACGAGATTCGGATGAGGATCACGTTAGGAGTCATGGAGGTTGCTGATGAGATTCCTTTTGTCTCCCCTTTTGCCAATATATATGATCAGAGCCTGAGGGTTGAAGGGGAAGGTGTTGGGGAAACTGGGTTATTTCCCACACGAACGTAGTTTCAAAATTGACCTAAAATGTCAAGATCAAAACCACCAAAGGTTGCATAGCGGATAAACCTATCAAACTATTGAATATTGAAACACAATGAAAAAACCAAATAAAAAACAATAAAGGAGAGAACACGCCAAATTTACGAGGTTCAACGAGAATATCGTCTACTCCTCGGGCACCACACTGGATGATAACTTCACTATCAACAAAATATTACAACAAATGGAATTCTTTAGATTTCCCAAAGTGAGAGAATGAAGAAAACAAATGGAAGAGAGAACTTGTTTTGGGATGATTTCTAATGGAAATACTTAGGCCTATTTATAGTTGAGTTTTAAGGACTAAACTTATAAATAACCTAATATTTTAGGGATCAAATATGGATTTCCCATGTTCAAAGTTTGGCCACCTACCAAAGAATTTTCCAATGTGTACAAGTTAGCCACCAAATATGAAATTCCCATGTTCAAAGTTTGGCCATTAACCAAGATAAAATTTCCAATAAGTTGGCCACCAACCAAGATGAAATTTTCAACTTGCCAACTTAATTTCAAGCCAAATCTAACAAATCTCAACCTTGGCTTGAAATTACCAGCCTACTCAACTTCTTCAACTCCCCAAATTTGTAGTGCCTCTATTTGCGCTCACAAGCGTCACACACCCGAAGGTGTTCATACTTTCAAGATGTTAATCAAGTTCAAACAAGGATTGAACTTGATTACTGTTACCACCTTGGTCATCATATCTGCAGGATTTTCTGATGTCTCAATTTTCTAAAGTAGAATCTTTCCTTCTTCAAAGATCTCCCGCACAAAGTGATACATCACATCGATATGCTTAGTCCTTGAATGGTAGACTTGATTTTTTGCTAAGTGAATAGCGCTCTAACTGTTGCAATAGAGACTAATGTGACTTTGAACAACTCCCAAGTCTTCCATCAACCCGTTAAGCCAAATTGCTTCCTTTACAGCCTCTGAAACTGCCATGTATTCTGCCTCTGTAGTAGACAAGGCCACCGTAGATTGCAATGTAGACTTCCAACTTACTGGGGCTTTAGAAAGAGTAAACAAATACCCAGTAGTTGATCGACGCATATCCAAATCACCAGCATAATCGGAATCATCATATCCAACCACACACTGACCAAGTGCTTCATCCTGTTCAAAAACTAAACCAACATCCACGGTTTGTTGGAGATACTATAGAATCCATTTCACAGCTTGCCAATGTCCTTCTCCAGGATCATGCATGTACCTTCTCACAACTCCAACTGCTTGTGAAATGTTAGGACGCGTACACACCATTGCATACATCAAGCTCCCAACTGCATTAGCATATGGAACTTTTGCCATATACTCTCGTTCTTCGTTAGCTTTAGGAGATAATTGAGAACTAAGTTTCAAATGAGAAGCCAGTGGGATAATTACATGTTTGGTATTTTCATTCATGCCAAAACATTGTAATACCTTTATCAGATACTGCTTCTGTGTTAAACAAAACTTCCCTCTCTGTTTATATCTGCTTATCTTCATACCAAGAATCTTCTTGGCCTTACCTAGATCTTTCATCTCAAACTCTTGATTCAACTGAGCCTTTAATTTGTCTATCTCCTTTTGACTCTTCGAAGCGATCAACATATCGTCAAAGTACAAGAGAAGATAAATGAAAGATCAATCTTTGAGCTTTTGCAAATACACACAATGATCATATTTGCTTCTAGTGTATTTTTGCCTCCTCATAAAGCTATCAAATCGCTTGTACCACTGCCTCAGAGATTGCTTCAATCCATATAGCAATTTGTTCAGGTTACAAACCCATTTCTCACAACCACCATCTTTGTATCCTTCTGGCTGAGTCATATAGATCTCCTCTTCTAAATCATCTTGCAAGAAAGTCGTCTTTACATCAAGTTGAGCTAGCTCCAAATTCAACTGTGCTACCAAGGCCAACAATATTCTAATGGAGGAATGCTTCACAAGAGGGGAAAATACTTCATTGTATTCGATTCCCTCCTTTTGAGCGTAGCCTTTAGCTACCAACCGTGCCTTGTAGCGAACATCTTTCTTTATATGAGATCCATATTTCTTTGTCAATACCCACTTGCATCCAATTGCTCTTTTACCTTTCGGTAATTGTTCCAGTTTCCAAGTGTTGTTCTTTTGGAGAGATTGCATTTCTTCATCCATGACACTTTTCCACTTATCACTTTCCAAGCTTTGTATTGCTTATTGGTAAGTGATAGGGATATCATCATCAACAACTGGAAGAGCATAGGCTACCATATCAACAAATCGAGCAGGTCAACGAATTTCTCTCATTGGCCTTGTAATTGCAAGTGGTTCTGGTGTCTCCAATGGTTCTTGGGTTTGAACCTCTTCATCTTATGATTCTTCTATTGGAGTTGAAGAATCAGTTGCATCAACTTCTGGGATAATCGTCTGTTGAAACTCCACCTGTTTTGGAGTATGCTCCACCTGCTGCAGAGTACTACTTGTCTGGACAACTTCATTTGTTACCTTCTTTACTAGGGCATATTCATCAAATGTAACATCTCTGCTACAAATTATCTTCTTAGTGTCTAAACACCAAAGGCGGAATCCCTTCACTCCATGGGTGATTCCCATAAAGAGAGCCTTCTTTGCTCTCGGATCAAGCTTGGATTCCTTCACATGATAATAAGTAGTGGATCGAAATACATGTAAGGAATCATAATCAGTAGCAGGTTTTCCAGACCATACCTTCAATGGTATTTTTCTTCCTATCGTTGATGACGGCAGACGATTGATGAGATGGCCAGCATATGATACAGCCTCAGTACAAAATGCCTTGCCTAACCCAGCATTAGACAACATACATCGAACTTTCTCCAATAATGTTTGATTCATACGCTCTGCCACCCCATTCTGTTGTGGTGTATTTCTAACAGTGAAGTGTCGAACAATACCATACTCATGGCAAACATCAAATAATTGGTCACTTTTATATTCCACTCCATTGTCCGTCCTAAGACGTTTGATCTTTCTACCAGTCCGGTTCTCAAAAATATTTTTTCATTTAAGAAAAATTAGAAGCACTTCATCTTTAGACTTCATTGGATACACCCAAACTCTTCTAGAAAAGTCATCTACAAAATTTACAAAATAAGGTTTCCTCCCAAAGACGATGTCTTTGAAGAACCACATACATCTGAGTGTATATAATCCACAATACCTTTTGTATTATGTATAGTGGTGCCAAACTTCACTCTCTTCTGCTTTCCCAGAACACAATGCTCGCAAAAGTTTAATTTGCAAGCCTTTTGTAACATCCCAAATTAGAGTTGGTGACTAAAAAGTAATTTTGGAAACTTTGTGCTCAATTTTAAAACAAGTTAAAAGTTCAAGGACTTAAATAGAAAATTTTAGTGTTATATTAAATGGTAATTGTGGAAATTTTGAAGGGTATAATAGTAATTTCGTAAGAAAGATTTTTATTTCCCCTTAATATAGGAGATGGCACGTGGAAAGAGAGGGAATAAAATAGAAAAGTCTGGAGACTTTGGTTCAACCTTCTTCTTCTTCTCTTCCCGTAAGCTCCATAGCAAATGTAAGT